TAGGTGTGTGTCTGCAAAAACCTGATGCCTCTTGCCTGCCTTTTTTTCTCCCTGCCTTCTAGGAAGATCGTGGCCGAGTATGAGAAGACCATTGCCCAGATGATAGGTAAGGTGCCGTCGCCTGGCCGGGCACGTGGGGCAGAGAGCTGGCTGCTCAGCCGCTGTGTCTCTGCTGTTTATTCTTGGTCGCAGAGGATGAGCAGAGGACAAACATGACGTCTCAGAAGAACCTGCAGCAGCTCACGATGGAAAAGGACCAGGCTCTGGCAGACCTAAACTCAGTAGAGAGGTCGCTGTCAGATCTCTTCAGGAGATACGAGAACCTGAAGGGAGTCCTAGAAGGCTTTAAGAAGGTCCGCACCTTGGTTTCCTCTTTCTGCCCGCAGCGCCGGTCCCTGCGTGCCGGATTCCCGTGCAGCATTGCCCCCGCCTTGCCCCGTGCTGCAGCACCGTGGCTCTCCCGTCGCACGCCGCGCTGCTTCAGATGCCTGCCCTTGCGCAGAGCACTGCTCGCTTGCTTTCCTCTGCCCGCTCTCTGATGAGTGAGCAAAGAGGCTTTCAAATGCCGGGGGAAGCCCTTGCGGGGAGCCCAGTTCTCGGGCTCTTCTCCGCACTCCTCCCCGGCGCGCTCCTGCCGAGCGCTGGCAGCGGATGTCGTGCCCAGGGAAGGGCAGGCGCCAGGGCAGCGTGTCCCGAGAAAGCCCGTCTCCACCTGCACCCTGTTTTTCCTTGCTGCTGAGCTGGATAAGGGTCTCCAGCAAAAGGGAGAAACTGGGACTATTTAAAGCCTTTTTCTTTTGCACCCAGAACAGGATATATCATCCCATCAAAGCAGCGTCTGTGCTCGCTCCCAGTGCAGATGGATGTACTTTTTTTTTTCCCCCCCCAGAACGAAGAAGCTCTGAAGAAGTGTGCTCAAGATTATTTAACCCGGGTCAAGCAGGAAGAACAGCGGTATCAGGCCCTGAAAGTCCATGCAGAAGAAAAGTTAGACAAGTAAGGTCACGCACAAGATTGCTGGGTGCGCTGAGGAGCTTTCTGGGTGCTTCAAGACCTTGTAGGGCAATGTCTCCATTTGGCTTTCCTGAGGTAGGAAGGCAGGAACTTATTGATGTGAAAAACTGCCTTTTTACAATCTCAGGCTCAAGTAGCCCTAAATGGCTGTTAAGATTGGCTTAAAAATTAAAATTAAGCCAGCACAAATCCCTGAATGGATTCTCTGATCTCTGCTTATATATTTTTTTTTTAAATGGAAAACCTGAGGTTCGTGGTCTATTTACAGTGACTTCACAAGTTCCCAGTTTCAGAGGGCTCACGTTTGTGGTGTGCAAAGGGGTCGTGCAGCTACCGAGGCTCAGCTGCTGAGCAGTAGCTCACCAACACAGGGTAGCCCCGAGTGAAGTGGGTAAGGAACTGGTTTAGCTTCGCTCTGGGAAAGCAGAGTTTCCACACAGGAGTTCAGAGGAACTGAATTAATCTAGTTTCATGCGGGTTTTCCAGATGGGAAAACCACCTCTGATGCATCCAGGCAAGCAGGAGCCGGGCTCTGCCGATGCCGCATCGTCCACCGCTGTGCCACGGTGCTCCTCCTGCCTGCACCCAGACATGACCACTGTCCCCTTCTCTCCAAACCCCACCGCAGAGCCAACGAGGAGATCGCCCAGGTGCGCACGAAGGCCAAAGCGGAGAGCGCGGCGCTGCACGCCGGGCTGCGCAAGGAGCAGATGAAGGTGGAGTCCCTGGAGAGAGCCCTCCAGCAGAAGGTAACGCGCCCGCCCTGCCT